GAAGGGTTAGAGGTGGGTTTGGGGAGGTAGAGACGGAGCAAGACTGGCATTAGGATGATAAATGTTGATAAAATGCTGGATGGTGGATATATGAGGCTTCCTTACACACTTTTCTTTTTACTTTTATGTTTAAAATTTTCCATAAAGAAAAGTTTTTGTTGATTTGCTTGTTTATTTTTAAGAGTGAACCAAATACACTCATGCCAGCCTTAATCTTGTCTATAGGGAAACTCAATTTGTGAACTTCTCAACAGTTACTCAAATCTAACTTAATAAAACACAATTTCCCCCAATTTTGCATGCAAATCTTTTGAGTTTCTGCAACAAAAACATTTTTCATAAATTAAATCACATTTTAATCAAAATGATGAGAATTTAGATCTAAACAATGTGGAAATTTGTTAGAAGCGAACTCTAAAGATGTGAAATCACTCATCTATATAGAATTTATTTTTCTGCGCCCTTTGCTTTAAGCTATATTTTAAAGAGTGACATAAAAAATGCCTTCTTTGAAACAATCAAATATAGAACTGACAGATAACTGATATTTCTTTGATTGAATATGTAAATTGTATCAAATGCTTACTTTTCCACTACTTTGGATGCAAAATGTTTTGTTTGCTTTTTAGGATATTGATTTCGCAAAGTCCCATTTGGAGGTTTAACTTTTTAAATACTGTCATTTCAACTTTTGATACTGAAGTAGAAATTTATTAAATGATTTCAAGCAGACACGAAATAGCTTTCGACTCAACCAGTGGTTCTTAAAGGGGGACCATTTATCACTACCTTCAACCCCTAAAGGACATTTGGCAATGTTTAGAGGCATTTTTGTTTGTCACAAGGTGGGGGAGTGTTACTGGTACCTAGTGAGTTATGGACAGACATGCTGCTAAACATCCTACAATGCACAGGAGAGTCCTCCATACAAAAAATTACATAGCCCAGAAAGTTAGTAGTGTCCGCGTTAAGAAACCCTGAACTAACGTTACAGGGTGCCTGGAAATATTCACTACAGTTGTCACTGCATGGAGCAGGCTGTCGTTTTGCCTAGCTGGCACGACCGCACACGACCGCATGAGTGGTTGCTCTAGGCTTCATGAGGAGGAAATCCCCAGGTGGGCACAAGGATACATACTCGGTATACACATACTATAGATTATCCGCTGCATTTTGTTGCCAGAGATCATGTTGCACACACCACAATTTTCTACTTCTTTGCTTTTAATCTTTTATGACATATATACATTTTGTTGAAATGCTTACTTATCTGATTTATTCGGTTACCTTATGTGGTACAATATTGGACTTTCTAAAGCATTTTGATGATTTATCGACCCAGTAAAATAGAGTGAAATCCTGAGATGTATGGGGAAGGGGCTGGGAGAGGACAACATCTGCTGCAGAGAGCAGAAGGGGGTCACCTGGCAGGGTGCACCTGGAGGATCTGAGAGGTCATGGAGGAATCAAGGGAGCTGTGAGGTCAGCAGGAGGGCCAGGGGCCAGCTTCCCTCATCTAGTTCCAGGCAACTTTACAGAGACTCTTCATATGAGCTATGGAACTACCACGGAAACTCTCAAGTGGGACTCCTCTGGGAGCTTCCCTCTAGAATGAAAGAAAATGAAGTCATTTATGATGAGGACCATAGGAACTTTTGACGGTGGCACAAAAAGACAAAGACATTTAATTACCATCTTCACTTCTAATTTAACCAGAAAGGTGTCTCATCAAAAAGTGTCACAGTATAGCAGTAGTCTTTCTATAGAAGTACAGTCCTTTATTCTTTCTCAGTGGCTTTCAACCATGGGTACATGGATTAATCAGGGAGCTTTAAAAAAATTCCAACACCTAGGTCTCATCCCAGACAAATGGAATCAGAATCTCTTGGGGATGGAGAATAATGAAAATGTGGATGGTGCTTCAAGAAAAGCAATGTTAATTGCACCTCTAATTTTGGGAAGCATGTACTCTGAAAGTACTCTGATATATAGATACATAATATTTTTTGGTGGGGGGTAATAAAGCTTATTTAAGGATCCTGTTGTTAAAGGCTGTCACAGGATACCTTTAAAAATGCTGGAAGAGAGATCTATTGTACAACATGGTGACCACAGCTATATTGTATACTTAAAAATCACTGAGAGTAGATTTTAAGCATTTTCATGACAAAAAATATGAGGTAATGCATATGTTAATTAGCTTGATTTAGCCATTCCACAATGTATACATATTTCAAAACATCGCGTTTTACATCATAAACATATACAAAATTTTTTAAATTCTGGAAGAAATACAGTTCTCTCTAACACAGAAGGGAGTAGTGAGAATTAACAAATTAGACAAAGATATCAGAGAATGAAAGAAGTATTTATGCTGAAGATATTATCCGAAATACATGGCAATGTGAAGACAGATCATAAATGGTTGCCAGTGAATTTTACACTGACTCTCACTGAATACCAAAAATGTCCTGTTTTTAAAATTAAAATGGTCCCCAACTTTAATCTTGTAAAAAATGAAGCTAGAAAAGAGTGAGATGAGATTTCTGATATTATAACCAATGAAGAGGAAAATTGGTTTATGTGTTTGGTCTATCACTGGACTCACTTTTTCAAGCTCTGACAAAAGTACCACACTGAAATGCTAGGAAAGGTGGAGGTCTTCAATTAGACAGGAGGGTCTGTAAGGAAATAGTCTGACATAAACTTTTCTATGGTAAAAAAAAAATGCTTTTAGTAAAAAGTTAAAGTAAAAAATGACAGTTTTCATGAAAGTCAGTGATGGCAGAGAAATCCAAAGGTCCATTTGAGTTTGGTCATTAGCTTCTGGCATAAGATCTATTTATACCTTAGAATGGATGGAATTCATTCACAATATTTTCATCAAAGGAGACTGTTGACTTAGTTTCTCTTGTGTAAATTTCCACCTTGCCTTACTTTGCAGAAATTCTGGTCTATCAAGTCCCAACATCAGGGTGAGACCATCCTAGGAACTGTAAGAAACAGCACCACAGCCTTCACAGTGCAAGGCTTTGTATGCTTTGCATAAAATAGTTTTAAAGAATCTCCAAGGGAAAAAAAAAAGAATCTCCAAGAAGCATGATTACAAGTTTTTTGAAACAATTATTTGAAAGTTATTAATTTTGGTAAAAAGTTAAAAAATAACCACCAAACAGAACTGTACACTAACAATAATAAAAATAAAAACCAAGGGGAAAGTTAGCAAACAACAAAGTCCTGCTTTTGTTTGCATGGGAGTGAGTCAGTGAGCACAGTTTTCTCCACAAACTTCACATTCGTTCTCCAGACTGTGTACATGCAGTCTACTCCTTGAGGCAGCAATTTTTAAAAAATTAGTTTGGTATATGTAAAAGCAAAATCGTACAGGAATTAGTTATGTTTTTAACTTAAGTGAGAATGGATGACTGACCCAGTTAAGTTTTCACTTCTCAGGTAAAAGGATGCCTTGAATATTACATGAAAACAAATTTGGAGTGTCTGTTTCTTCATCCCTAATTCCACTTACTGACGTCTAATTTTTTTTTTCCAACAAACGCAGTGAGGAATGTTTCTTGAACACAAACTAAACTGAATCCAAAATAATAATTCTCTGACCAAGTATGGTAATTAGTACAGCAAAATCCCATATGACATGTTAGCCCAATGGGTAAAATTACCCACAACATGTAATTGTAAGCCCTGGCTTAGTAAATAACTATACAGTGGACTTTTTTTCCCTTTGGAAACATTTGATGGGTTGGCATGGGCGAGTTTAGTCAGTTAAACACATTTCATAAGTTGTTTATTTGTGATGTTGAATCCATTTATGACACTTGGTGGGTTTTGAAGGCACGACTACTACATGAGCATCACTGTGTCGCTAGCACCTAGCACCCTGCCTAATAACCACCCTGGACCCCCAGGCCATGTACGCCATCACTATTGGGCTGAATCAATGCAGAGACAGCCCATGAGTCCATTCCTGATTACAATCAGTTGTGCATGTCATAATTTTCCTTCACGCTCCAAGACCTCACTGATTTACACAGTTTATTTTTTGTACTACCTTAAAATTCATGCAAACAGAGCTTTCCTGTATGTAAAATGAAAAAGCACATACTGTTAATACTATTTTTTACCAACTTTAGAGTCTTTACCCATTTTTGAATGTGGCCTGTATAGAAATCTGCTTGTAATAAAAACTGACAACAACCGTGACAAGAATAAGGATATAATATTAAAATAAATCAAACGATATACAGTAGTCATTATTCTGATACAGAATTTTTACCCAGTAATATTGATACAGGTACAAATGGCAGGATGTCAAGCAATCCATTACAATCAACCTTTCGGTTACAAATAAAGTTTAAATTACAACTTGATACCGATTTAAAAATGGTAACTAGCGTTATGCCAGATTCAAATCAATACTTCCTCAAGTGACATTTTTCTAGAATGCCTCTAACTAGGACACTAAAAAATAAAAATAAAAAAAAACTTTACAAAAAGAAAAGAATTAAATGTAATATTGTATTGAAAAAGAAGTCCTTTATATAAAAAAAAAAAAAGAAAGAAAAAGAAAATAAAAAGCCCTAATCTAGGAATTTGGACTAAATTAGTTTGGTTTTCTATTCCTCTGTCCTCACACCAGTCAAACAGCAGAGCTGAAAGTCCATTTGCACAGACGGGTTTAGGAAAGTTCCAGAAGCACCCCCAACCTCCACTCCACAAGAGGAGTTTGGAGAGTCCAGTCAACTATGCACTCTTTTCACTGTTTAAATATCAGGCAAAAAAGCTTGATTCTCATCAGTAATTCCGTCAATCAGCTAATGAATATGGACCCACCATTTTAAACAAGACCCCAAACAAACAAACAAATAAAAAACTGGAGGGGCAGGTAGGGAAATGGAGAAGAATAAAGTGAGGGCCTTAAAATTCCTTGAGGAGAAGACCTGAAAGACCAAAGGAGGTGTGTGTATGTGTGGTGGGGTAGGTATGGGGGGTGATTTTAAGAGAAAGAACGTGTTTCTGTAACAAAATATCACATTCTTATTCTCCCCTTTCTTGTGAAAATGGGTAATTGGCATAAAAAAAGAAAAAAAGCCAAACCAAACCAAAACACAAACAGGGAAATGAGAACTGGTTCCACAATGCCTTGGACTTTATTTCTATCCAAAATTAAAATTCCCTTTCAATTAAAAAAATCATTCAAAAATCAAAGACAAAAATGTTACTTGGAAAGTTGAGGAAGCAAGAGCATTTCTTTCTGGCGTGTTATTTGTTTGGCACAATCACAGGTAAGACTTTACAGACATCATGTGGCTGTTCACATTTAAAGTTTCTACTCTAAAAAGTGATTACTTTCGGGCTAAACAATTATATCGGTTAAATGAAGTCCGTAAACAAGCCAAGCCTGGCAGACATGGACAAGTGTGATGCATTCTCCGCCCCAAAAATGGAACCTACAATTAAAAAGAAAACTGAGTCAGAGCAGGAAACGTTTCCAGAACAAACCAAACCATTCTTGAGATATCTCTTTGAATAATAATAACTAGTGTTCATTGAGCATTAACTATTCATTAGGCAATATGCTCAGCACATTTCATATATTATCCTTTCCCATCCTAACAATCACCTTATGAAGATGGCAAATACTTTGATTATACCCATTTTACAGATGACAGACTGAGACACAGGGAGGTTAGTAAATTGCCCAAGGTCACATATCTAGAACTTGAAGCTTGGCTGGCAGCTAGACCAGAGACCAAGCTTTTTTAGTCATCAAGCTATACTGCCTTTTAGTTTTTCTCATTTTATTCCTTTTTATAATGCCCCATTTCCAAAGCTCCTTAAAAAGACCCTGATACCATGGGCATGACCACGTCTATATAATGAACAAATATGAATTCACAATCAATAAGAATATATATAGTCACACATTTGTACACAGATGCCAGGAGTCATAGTGCTGGGAAAATTTTTTTTAAAGGAACAGAGGAAAATTAGGGAAGGAGACAAGCTCAATGTGCAGCAATGACACAAATCAGACCCTGGTCTAGGCAGACCTAGCACCGAGAGTCACACTAAGAGCCCAGCCCAGGCCACCACTGAAGCTGGGTTGAGGAGGGGTGACCAGCAGCTAATGTGGTGGTTCTCTGTGTCAGTGGCAAGTAGAGTACACTCAAAATGTGCATGCTTTCCAGAAGCAAAGAGAGCGAAAATGACTCTCCTTCCCTGTAGTGGATTGAATTATGTCCTCCCAAACTCCCTGAAGCTTGTATTGTGTCCCCCAAGTTTTATGTATTAGAAACTTGGCCCCCACTGTGATTGTTAAGAGGGTGGGAAATCCTGTTATGGTAATTGAAAGGTGGAGCCTTGAAGAGGTGATTGGATTGTAGGACTGTGCAGTAGCGAAAGGGTTAATAATGGCGGTCAGAGGCATGGTTCTGAGGGCTTTAAAAGAAGACAGAGGAGAGCCTTTCTCTCTGCTTCGATCACCTTGCAATGTGAGACCCCTGGGTCACTGTTGCCACCACCAGATGGACTTTGGACTTCCCAGCCTCAGAAACTGTAAGCAATAAATTTTGTTTTCTTATAAATCACCCAGTTCCAGGTATTTTGTTATAAGCAACAAACACTGACTAATTCACTCCCCTAGGAATGGTGCCTTCTTGAGAATCTGCCTATCCTGTAAGTTATAGGGAGAAAGTTTAACCCCAGGCCTGGAGACGTACTATAGTCAACGAAATGGGAAAGCAACTGAATCTGACTCAGGGTAATGCAGGAGAGACAAACCACTACGAACTCATGCCTCGAGGATCCTGTAGTTTAAACACGCAGAGAATGTGTTCTTCCAGATTCCAAACCCAAATGCTTTATCCAATATTGTTCTAGTATATTAGCTATTTTCCACCAAAAGAGGCCACTCCACATGAATTATGTGTCCTTAGGAGAAAACCTGAGATGCATCATCTACATGCCTTAAAAAAGGTGGGGCTAAAAAAAGGGCTTTCTGCAGACAGTGGCAGAACCATTCAAATCTTACTTTTGGGTTGAACTGATAGGACATACTCAACTCTGCAACATACAGGCTAAGTTTTCTGGGCATATCTTTTGGTGGTACTAGGCTCACGTTCTTACCTCCTTTTTCCTTTTTCTTTTCTTCCTCTTTCTTCTTTCCTGGCTTCCATTTCCAAAATGGCTCTGGAAGGGCCAGGGAGATGATTGAGATCAATAAATATAAATGGAAGAAAGAGAAGCAATGGGAGGGCAGGGTTTGTATGTGGTGAACAGTCAGAGCAAGGCACACCCAAGCCATCCCAGGTCTTGTGTCTTTTTGGTACATTATTCCTTCCAAGCTCTAATAACAGTGTTTACACACAGGCACGTTGGCCATTGGCTCAATGTAGACTTGTGCTCAGAATGGTTCTGTCACTGTGTGAGTCAAAGGGTGCACTGAAGTGGTTCATTTGCGGCCACCAAGCATACTTCAAAGGAGGCAGGGGCAGCTGGACTGGCTTAGACAATCACAAGTGCATAGTATGAGAAGTGATAATCAACGACCTTTATAATCCATTCGGACCCTGGACTGAGTTTCCATTTGCCATGCCTAAAACTACTGGGTGGGCCAGTGGTTCCCAATCAGGGATGATTCTGCCCCCAGGGGACATCTGGCAATGTCTAGAGACATTTTTGTTTGTCATACCTGGGGGCAGGTGGTGCTATTGGCATCTAGTGGGTAGAGGCCAGGGATGCTGCTAAACACCCTACAATGTAAAAACAGCCCCTCACGACAAGAGTTATCTGGCCCAAAATGTCAATAGTGCTGAGGTTGAGAAATACTGACACGAGCAGCAATATCCATGGAAAATGAGCCCAAAGTAAGTGGAATACACCTATAATGAGCATGCCAAACTATTGTAAATGAAAACCACCAAGTCTGTTTCTTATATTCACTCATTCAGCAGATACTGAGTACCGTCTACACGTCAGGCCCTATTTTAGATGCCGAGGAAACAGCAAAAAACAAAGCAGCAGAGGCCACTCAACGTCATGGAGCTTACAGTTTAATGATGAAAGACAGATGGCCAGGAAGACAGTTTCAGCTACTAATAAGTGCCCTCAGGTGCTCACAGTCTTGTGCCTTATGCATCACGACACTGCGACCAATTCTTGGCCAGTCACATAGGGCTACTGGCACCTTGGAAGTGGCAGAAAAAACACATAACACTGCCTGCCTGCCATGAGTCAGGCCTCATAAGGCATTGTGTATGAACATCATCCCAGACCCACGTGACAGATTTTCACCTTGTTTTAAGATGAGCTAAGTGGATTCCTCCTGAGGTGCACAACTGAGGTCACCCAGCTAGAAAGGGAAAGTGTTTGTAGTCAAACCCCGCCCCTTTTTCTTCCAGATTTTGCTTTCTTCTCAAATAGCACCATGCCCAGATTCCAGCCTCTTTGAAGAGAGAATTATATTTATATTTATGAACATATACAACATTTAGCCTGGTACACAGAAGACACTCAAGAAAATATTTATGAAGTGCCTATCAATCACCCTACCCCCTGACTCCTGCATAGACGATGAACTCCCTGAAGTCCAAAAGATGTCCTCTCAGGTCCTGAGGCTTCCCCTCCCCCTGCACACGCCTGGCATCAAGCAGGCCCAGTGTGACCCATGCCTCCAAACTCAGAGATGGATTTACTGTGAGGCCAAAGAGGCCGGAGCCCCTCACTTGCATAGGCCCCTCTAGGGCCTGGGAAGGCCCTGGAAATATGTTCACCAGGTCATATGTTTTTGTGAAACTTTTGAAAATACCTTTGTCTTCTGTTTCTTATCAAGGGCACTAAGAATGTGTAAGCATCAGTGTGGATCTGACTGGATCAGCCGACCCTAACATAATGATTAGACTGCACTGCAGGTCCCTTTACACATGGCTGCCGTATTCTCACTCAAACCCAGTTCCTTTTTTGAAGATCCAGACCATGTCTCTCTCTCTGTCCCGACCGCCTTTCTTAGCTGCACCAGCCCGTGGCAATTTCCCTCCTCGCCTTACACCTGCAAACTCCTGATGACAAAGACCACGATTTCTGCTATTATACACTCAGGAGCTGCTTGCCATCTTCTTGACTGCTCCCATCACTTCTAAATCTTCATACATCGTGTGACAAAGCTAATAGGGATCTCACAGTCACAAATGCATGAGAAAGTGTGCATGGAAGATGCGTATTTGAGTCATTTGGTCCATGCTTGATGGTTTACCTTACAATCAACCAAATACTCAATCTAAAGTTTCTAATAGCCTACAATTCCAAACAGCAAATTCTACAAGTTACCAAAACAGAACATCTAGCACTTTTGAGAAAGCATGGTTCTTATTCATTTGCAGCACTTGTAAAGAGAAAATAGCACTTATAAAAGGGCAACGTGAGGGATCCTTGTAGCGATGAAAATGTTCTATATTTTTACTGTATCCATGTCAATATCCTGCTTGTGATGTTGTACTGTGGTTTTGCAAGATGTTACCATTGGGAGAAACTGAGTAAAGGGAATACAGTGCCAAGGTTGAGAAAACCTGTATTCAACGAAAGCACATTTATGTTTTGCGAGTCTCTTTGCTGATTTGAAACTGTAACTACAGCTATGATGCTACCCCAAGAGACCAATGTGGACAGTGGCTCTTGACATCTGTGATAGGAAAGATAAGACAATAGTATCTTAAGTTTTCTTCTAGCCATAATCTACTAACATTTTTAGTTACATTATATTATTTTTAATTTTATATTAAAATTTTAATAATTTCATATTCTGAAATTTTAATTATGTTTAAAATGTTTTGTCATAGTTTGGTTCTAAAATGGAAACCAGTAATAATTTTTAAAATCATCTTTTTTTAATCAAACAAGATCCAAATTTTTATTTGTAATTTTTTTCCTTCAGAAAAGGAAAATGTATAAAGCCAAGTTTCAAAGTGAGGTTAAAAAAAAAATACATTGGTGCTAAAAATGTTTACATAAAATAATGGAGCAAAATTAAAAAGCAAGATTGGAGGAAACAGTTGTTTAAATAAAAAAATTCATAAAATGTAATAAGCAATAGTAAAGAATCAAATAATTATAAGCTTCCAAAGCCAAACATTAATTACAATGGGATGGAAATGGCTAATCTATGTAAACTTCGAAAAGTATAGGTATTAATAGAAATTAAAATATTGTTTAAAAAAAAAAAACACAAAGCATTTCCTGTAGACATAATCCAGTAAGTCACTGTTAATTAAGTGTTAAAAATGAATACCTGTTAAAGCTATTATTTGCTTTAAAATGTGTTTAGAAAATATATACCCTATTCTTCCTAGGTGAACTTATATATTTTATTCTATTTTTTTTTTTTTTTTTTTTTTTTGGTTTTTT